CACAGAGAAGCAAAGGGGAAGGTTGTCCTCGTCATCTCAGAATATAGAAGCTTGTCTAGCTTTTTCTCAGATCTCAATAACCATGAAGCGAAGGCTTGGCCATTGTATTTCTTAAAACAAACATTAAAAATATATCATCATCAAAATGAAAATAGAAATTGTTGTTGGTTGTTTTTGCTCTTTTGGGGGCCCCCACCACCCAGCTCACAAATAAACCACACACAGAGGCTTATTCTTAGTTATATATGCCAGGCCTTAGCTTGGTTTGTTGCTTGCCAGCTTTTCTTAATTTTAAATTATCTCATCTACCTTTTGCCTCTGGGCTTTCTCCCTTTCTTACTTCTGTATATCTTAATTTCACTCTTACTCCATGGCTGGCTGTGTGGCTGACCCCTAGCATCCTCCTCTCCTTGTTCTTTCTTCTTCTTCTCCTCCTCCCAGATTTCTCCTTCTATTTATTCTCTCTACCCCTCCCCGTCCCCCCACCTATTCTTTCTCCTGCCGCGCTATTGGCCATTCAGCTCTTTATTAGACCATCAGGTGTTTTAGGCAGGCAAAGTAGCACAGCTTCACAGAGTTAAACAAATGCAACATAAAAGAATGCAGGGCAGCTTTGCACCATTAAACAAATGTTCCACAGCATAAAGAAATGTAACACACCTTAAAATAATATTCCACAAGAAATGACAACCTGGGGAAAAATAAAATTTACATATAAAACACAACAAAGTGCACACATGCATGTACACACGCATTGTGTACACACACCATAACAGAGGTAAATAACTAGTTTTCCTAGATTATTAGGATCAAAAGATGGGCAGTCATTCCAGGGGAAAAATGGATCACAGGTAGAAAAGTATTTTACTATCCATGAAATACAAATGATCTTCTAATCAATAATGTAATGGGTTTCTCTGTCCCACCAGCCCCAAATAATGACACAGAGACTTCTTATTAATTATGAAAGCTCAGCCTTAGCTTAGTCTTGTTCCTAATTAGCCCTTATAACTTAAATCAACACCTTTCTATTAGTCTACATGCTGTCACGTGGCTTGTGGCTTTTACCTCTCCTCCTGCATGTTCTGTTTCCTCTGTGTCCAGCTGGTGCTCCGCCCCCCTGCTTCCCAGAGCTCTCTCTGCCCGGAAGTCCCATCTATACCTCCTGCCTAGCTATTGGCTATTCAGCTTTTTATTACACCAATCATAGTGACATATCTTTACACAGTGTGATCAAAATTCTCGGAACACAGTAATGTGACCTTTAACCTCTCCATGACAGAACAAAGGCTGATGCTGCAGTGAGATCTCAGTTTGTCACTGTGCAGTAAAGCCCCAACTAATAGCACAAGCTCTTGAGATGGATATGGGGAAACAGGAGCTTGTCAGTCTTGTGGACATGGAGTGAAGCAGCTGAGGAGAGCTTAACTCAGCCGTATCTAGCAACAGAAGGGTTCATGTCTCCTTAGATCGGCAGTGCTGTTCCGCAGTCATTGCACAGAAATTTACAGGTGTGCAGAGAAATGCCTTTGTAGGTTTTCACCACAGCATTGTAAATTTGACTAAAACTGGATGACTTAGCTAACAACCTAAATATTTGTAAATAAGGAGCAAGATAGATCCTGACATACCCATTTATTGTAATGCTGTGCAGCTATGGGAGATGAGTAAATCGCCATTATATAAATCTACCTTGTAGGAAAGACCTCTGTCAAAGAACAAAATACTGGGAGAAAACAGTACTACCCTAGGATACTTTTGGAGACAAGAGCAAGAAATTAAGCACATGTAGTCATGTGTCTTTGTATTTTATTTTCAGAAGGAAAATCCTATAAGGATATATACTACAAACTAATTAAAGTGTTTGCTGCTTAGGATGCCATGCATTAGCCAGATGGAGGAAGGCAGGTGGGAATGTTTTCTTTCACTGCAACATTATATATATATATATATATATATATATATATATATATATATATATATATATATATACACACACACACACACACACACACACACACACACACACACACACCTGGGGAGAGGGAGAGAGAGAGAGAGAGAGAGAGAGAGAGAGAGAGAGAGAGAGAGAAAGGCAGAGACACAGAGAGATACAGAGAGGGACACAGAGACAGAGACACAGACAGAGACACAGACAGACACAGTAAAATATTATCCACATATATGTTGAATCCCATGAACTCAAACACAACACACATTACTACCTTAACAAATCATGCATATAGAAAGACACTGGGCTAAAGCACGTCCAGGAATCATCAGTTATAACAGCATAAACAATTGGCAGCCTGATGCTGTCGGTGGAACTGTTTCATTTGCTCCCCTCATTCATTAGCTTTCCTCTTCTGTGACAAAATGGCCAAGGTAAATATGCAGAAAAGGAGAAATGTATATCTTGGCTGGAGGTTTTAGGCTTTCCAGTCTGGTTGGCTGACTACCTTGACTGTCGCCTGATAGCATGACACAGTATTCTGTGAGCACAGCACAGCTTCATCCCTCAAGGATGGGGTCAGCAAGAGCAGGGAGGGAGGGGGTTGACAGAGAGAAGGGTGTGGTGAGGGGAAGAAGAGGGTGGAAAGTGGTCTTCTAGTATCGCCGCAACTGTTCTTCCTGAAGACTCCATGGTCTCCTAGGAGGACTGTAGGCTGTTGCCCAACCTTTCAACATGTGACCCTCAAGAGACCTTTGATATAAAAATAAAAACACTTACTGATAAACTTCAATCACGTATCTGTATATATTTAAGGTCGTTTGATTTACTATTGCACAAATGGCATTTCACATCATAAACCTGATCTCAAAAATACCAAAACCAGGGTTGGGGATTTAGCTCAGTGGTAGAGCACTTGCCTAGCAAGCACAAGGCCCTGGCTTCAGTCCTCAGCTCCAGAAAATAGAATAATTAAAAAAAATACCAAAACCACAGTATAAAAATGAAATTAATAGCATTTAACAGTTAAAGAACTAGTAGACTCTCATTAAAATGAGCATGACCTTTTGTTGAGACTTAGTTGACAGCTTCTGACATGACCGTGTAGAGTCTCCGAGCTTTAGTTTATAGGCTGCCGTCGCTGCGGTGACCTGTCACTCCTGTTGCCTCAGATGGGAAGGTTTACCTAGACATTGCCCTTCTTGTTGCTATGTTCCCCGGCCAGCCCTAAGCAATTGGGACAGTCAGTTTCTGTTACAGCTTGATGAGAGACAGCCCAAACTTAGGTATGGAAAACTTGAGGAAATGATTGTTGCCTGAGTTTACAAAATCATCCAACTCATTTTCTGTCATCAGTCACTAATTATGAAAGATTTTGTGTAAATCACCTGCTAAATTTTCATCTTCTCTGATGACAATTTGTTTGGGAACTCATCAAGAGGGATGCATAACCATCTTTCCAAAAATGAATTAAGAGCCCACCCGCACCTTTTATTTAGAGGATTCTCATCGGCAGAAATTCTGTTCTTCCATTTTAACTTTTCACATACTTTTGATGGGTAGCATACATTGTGTGTGGCCACAAAACCATATTCCACACACTTTTGATGGGTAGCATACACTATGTATGGCCACAAAACCATATTCCACACACTTTTGATAGGTAGCATACATTGTGTGTGGCCACAAAACCATATTTCACACACTTTTGGTGGGTATCATATGTTGTGTATGGCCCCCAAACCATATTCTACACACTTTTGATGGGTAGCATATGTTGTGCATGGCCTCCAAACCATATTCTACCCACTTTTGATGGGTAGCATACATTGTGTATGGCCCTTAAACCATATTTCACACACTTTTGATAGGTAGCATACATTGTGTATGGCCCCAAAACCATATAAGTAAGATGTATGTCTAGATATCCACTTTTTTTTTTTTTTTTGGTTTTATTGAGACAGGGTTTCTCTGTGTAGTTTTGGTGCCTGTCCTCGATCTTGCTCTGTAGATCCTGGAACTCACAGAGATCCGAAGTCCGCCTGCCTCTGCCTCCCGAGTGCTGGGATTAAAGGCGTGCACCACCACTGCCTGGCTAGATACCCACTTTTAAAAATGGCTCTTGCCTCTCTTTCGGTAAATAAGCACATAAATTAAAAACTGGAGTACCAGCATTTGCTGAAGGCTCTGCTTTACCTTGGGAATTGTGATCAGCACATCTGGTGAGTGCTGTGACCTTGAGGAAAGGCTCCCACGTATCTCTGGTCACTTGGGCTTGTTTTGTGTGTTAAATCCAATCTGTGTTGTTGTTGTTTTCAGGAGTCTTTACAGCCATTTGTGTATTTTGGATGATCAGTGTGGTTACAGTTAGCTAATCTTATTTTAATTGAGTACTGATGCTTGAGAACTGAGCTTGTGGTGGGGGAGGGGGACAGACCTCCTCCAGTCAACCACCACTGTGCAGCTCTCAGATGCAGGTGTGGGGGTTGTGGGGGCACCTGTTTCCACCGTTATATTAAAGGCGGTGGAAGCTCACTCTCTCTGTACATAGCCAATGAACAAATGAGGCCGTATGAATGAATTTATATCACCAGAAGAGATGACGGTGGACAGCTCTTGGCACCCACTGGAAGGTGCTGGCTGTAAACCCTGGGTTACATGGGTGTTCACAGATTTGCTACCCTCCAAACTTCAGTTTTCAGTGTTGTTCAGAGTGACAGCATTAAGAAGATCAGCCGTTGGGACATGTTCAGAGGGGTCATTTTGATTAGGTTAAGTGAGGGAAGACCCTAACACCATTCCCTACACTTGGATGTAGGGTTGCACAGGAAGGAGAAAGCTGGGTGGGCACAGGCACTCCCTGTTCTCTGACTCCTGACTGTAGATGCAGTTTGATCCGCTTCCCCAAGATCCTGCCATGATGCCTTCTCCACGTTGACTCCTTCAGTAGTTGCCTTCATCCGGGTATTTTAGCTTGGTAGCAGGGAAAGTAGTGAGTACAAGCAGTTATCCATGAGTAATGATCTAAACCACATTTTCTCTATTCCAGGGGCAAACTGAAGAAGAAAAGAAGCCCAGAGGAGGTGCCACAGTTTTAAGCCAAGGTAATTATCACTGTCTGGTACAGTTTCAATTCACAGTGAACAACTTTCACATGAAAATTTGGTTAGATTGCTCTTGTTGTTTTATGCTTCTTAGCTTAAATATAGAGCACTATTGTCTCCAGTTTACTCAGGGTCTTACTCTGGTGCAGACTTTATCAATGTCATCTCATTTTAGGCATATTAAGGAATGCAGCTCTGCGGCTTTTATTTTTGTATGCATTTGCCTTTTAAACAAGCTGTGAAGGAGGCCATTTCTGGTTTCTATCTCCGTTAGTGATAGAAGGTGGTGCCGAATTCATTTCCATCTCCTTGCTTCTATTTTTTCCCCAGATTGTTTAAATCATCTGATATTTGTGCTTGTTCACTCCTGCTGAAGCCATGTTGAAGAGATGGTACATTTAATCCAGATTGAGTATCCCTCATGGTTATTCACTCATTTGTAGACTTTAGATAATGGCTTTTTTTTTAAATTAATATTTTTTTGCTATTCCTCTGATTTTCAGATGCCTTAAATTTAAATAAACAAATTGAGTTGCCGTTTTGTGACTATTTCCACAAGACAATTGCTATCAAAATTTCTATAAAATGCAGTTGAATATCCAACAGGATTTTTTTTTACCATTTCTGGGAAGAAAGGTACATAAATTTGATAATATGCCTCTGTAAAGCTCTAAAAATACCACAAATATTTAGTTGAGTAGACTTTTTTATTTTTAAATGATTAAAAACAACTAAAATATTAAGTATTTTTAATAATTTTATTTCTAAAAGATTGCTTACTATTTCTTAATTTTGGAATACGATATTGAAAATCTGCAACCTTAAAAGTGTTTTCTATTACAATAAAAATATTATGTTGCTTTAAGTGGATAGTCTTCTGTTGCTACCACCCGAGGCCTGTCGTGTTCTTTGCTGAGCAAGCAGAACGGGGTGCAATACTTTGATAATTATGTAACTTGATGTTCGGATCCGCTGGAATACACTTCAGTTATACAACACTGGAATTTTAGAAATGAAATTGCCTTGTGCGTGGCCCGAACAGTAGGGTTCTTTCAACATTTTTTTCATTCTCAGAGATAGGTTGATATTTATTAAATTGTCATTTCTCCCCCGGAGCTATATTTTCACACTAATGTAAATTGAGTATTTTTTTTTTTTCATTTTGTGGTTGAATCATTCCCACCGGAAGAGGAAAACTCGGCTGAGATGAACACTGTAAAACTTTTCAGTTCCTTTGCTATAGTTCTTTCCAGCGTATGCTTGCATTTTGACTACGTGCAAGGATTTGTTTCTCTCAAACCGTTTTCTGGAAAGTTGGTTTGCGTTGTTGGTCTCTGTCTGCTGGTTCATTCTGGAGTTCATCACTCCTGCTCAAAAGTATCTGGCTGTGCTTTACTCTGCCCCAAATTTGACATTATTAATTGCTTCTGGAACATAACTAAATGTTTAGAGGAAGGATTAGCTCTGCTTTATGTCTGTACATGCTATTAGTTGCTAATTGTATTGAGAATAGGCTCATCTGGAGACTTTAGGATATAATGTATATTTTTATCATGTTTAATGGAGTGAATGAGATATATCTATCTCCCACTGTCATATTATCATAGCATCTTAAGGAGATTTTTCCACCTATAGATTGTAGAATAGTCATTTTTTCCTTAGAATCCTTAATAATCTGAAGAAATGTAGCCTCTTATCTGGTATCTTAAAAATAATAACAAAACCAGAATTGTGTATGTACACATTGATATGTATATGTGCCTAGAAAAGTATACTGAATATAAATACATAATTCTTTGTAGCGGTTTTGTATCTGGTGTGTGCTTCCTTGGCTATTGTTATAACATAATTTGAGTGCCTAACTTTTGCCACTAACATTAAGCTATAGGCAAGGGAGCCTCGAGTGCCACTTGACTTTCTCAGAATAAAGTTCACTAGTGGTCAGTGAATCCAAGATTTGAAACTATGTCAGCAAGCTGTAATGCTGAGTTCTTTCTACTCTGTGCATGCACTTTCTATGTTATCATCCTCCTCTTCTGTGCAGGTGTTGAGACAAAGGTGTAGAAAACTGCAGTATTGCTTAGAGATGGGCTGGGCAAAGTAGCTGCTGATAAAGTACTAATGGTCTCTTTCACGCTCATAGGTGTTCTTGGGGATGGGCCGAACTAGATTTTCCTTGAAGTAGTCATTCCTTGGGATTTATGTTTTCATTCTTTTGGAAACTCTTTGGCTAAAATTCTTCCTGGTGACTAAAAAGTTACATAACTCTTCTGGATCCATCTCCCTGAGAGAAGGCTTGTATCAGCATTCACTCGTTAATACTCACTTGTCAATAATTGGCTGTGATAAAGTCAGAGAATTATTCTTGTCAATAAGTGTGAAGCTCAGACCTGTCTGCCTTTTATTTTTGACATCTCCAAAATAAAAACACCCAATTTCTTTGTGAAACAAATGATCTAGATTTTTCTATCCTTGATTTATAAGTGTCTTTAAAAATCACTGTTTGGTTGCATGTTGGGGCAGTGGGGATTTTATGAACAAAAACCACGAATGAAGGAAGTTGTAAAGAAAATGTAGTTGTACACATACACAGATTAAACTCTGTATATAACATAAAATAATAATAAATACAATAGAAATAGAAATCCAAAAAATATTGTTCATAGATACAACGGAGAACAGGCCATTAATACATAAAGGAATTAGGTAAAATCGTCAGTTGTACTGTGATCTCAGTCATCACCTGGAAAAGGTTACAGGTTATTAACTGAAGAGATAAAAGTGACTAAAAATTAATATATTGAAAAATCTCAAATTTCAATAGAATATAAAGAAATACAAGTTTAAAATTAGTGACTAGTTTTGATTGAACAAATTAGCAGGGGCTTTAAACTTCTGGCTCCTCTCAGTATACAACGAGGAGATGAGCTCTGGGTTCATGAGTGGAGTTTCCTCTGGTTATCGAAAGTGTTAAATAAACATTTTCTTTGATTTAGAAAGTCTTCACTGAATTTTTCCTAATGAAATCAACATGTGCATTCCACTTATGCCAACCTTGATTACTGTGGCACTGTTTATAACCACAAAAGTTGAAAAAGAATGTTCATGCATATGGTTTATAGGAAAAACATTGTGGCTTGAATATCTGTAGATATTTATGTCCCTTGTGTTCTTTGGGAACTTTAAATCACCTTAATAAACACTCATGGTAATATTTGATATGTTAATATTTTTAACAACAGTGATCTTCAGGTTTTTGATTTTAAGAGTGTGTTTATAGCAGTCACTTGTGGTCTCAACATATGGCTGGGTCAAGCCTACCTGCTTTTCTGAATTATTTAGAAAAATCTAACGTATCCGTTTTCTTCCTTGTATCTCTTTTTTTATTCTTTTGGATGCTGTCCTAAACCTGACAGTGTTCTCTGTCCCACTCTGGGCTTCCTTTTCCATCTTCAAAGCTCTTTTCCCACCACTCTGGCCGTGGGGCTGCTTGTCTGCTCTGTACTGACCTCCATGCCTAAGTCAGAAGGCATGGATTCTCCCTCCCTTTTCCATCTAACTCCTCCACAGAGCTGCCAAGATTTACATCTCTGCTGTCCTGTGGATTTCTTTTTCAAAAACACTCTTAATGAAATTTGCACTAAACTTTCTGCTGAGTCCATTTTTAATTCTTTTGTCAATGAGAATAACAACCCCAAGAATTTCATGGTGTGTGGTAACCCAAGTGAATCTCCCTATAATTTCCTCTAATATGTGGTGACCATGAAAGGACCCCAACGAAGTTTATTTTTCTGCGGACAAAACAGGGGACCATACTTCAGGACTTTAGCTACTGAATTTACTCCATGTTACTTAAGGACAACTAACAACCTCTGGAAACAACTGTGATTAGAGCTTCTTTGCATAGTGTGATGGGTTGAAGATACTGGCTCCCATAGGCTTGTATTTTTGAATGCTCGATCCACAGTTGGTGAGACTGTTTGGGAAGGATTAGGAGGTGTGGTCTTGTTGGAAGGGGTGTGTCACTGGGGGTGGGCCTTGAGGTTTCAAAAGCCTGTGCCATTTCCACATCCCTCTCTCTCTCTCCCTTGTGGTGTGGGTCAAGATATAAGTCCTCAGCTACAGCTCTAGTGCCATACATGCCTGCTTGCTGTCATGATACCCACCGTGATGATCATGGACTCACCGTCTGAAACTGTGAGCTCCAATAAAAGTTTTTCTTTTGCAAGTTGCCATGGTTATGGGGTCTTTTCACAGCCATAGAAAAAGTAAGACACATGGCATACCCTTTCTTCCTGTATCTGCTGAAGAGGACTTAGAATGATTTCAGATTTATAGAAAAACTGCAGTTATAATAGTGCAGAAATAGACGTAAGTATTCTGTACCTAGTTTGTTTTAACATTAACAGATTGTATGGTCATGGAACATTTTTCAGAACTGAGCAGTTAATACTGCCATGTCAGTGTGTATTAAATTACAGACTTTGTTAAGGTAGAATCAGTATTTTTACCTGTATTCTTTTTTTTTTTTTTTAATGCCAAGCTTCAAAATACTACTTTGGATTTAGCATTGTAGGTTGTTTCTTTTGTGCTCTGTGTTTTTTAATCTCCTCTCATAGGCAGAGCCCACATTCCTGGGCAGGTATAGTATTTCCTTACCTGCCATCCACTGACCCTGTTTGCCACCATCTCAGTTCCACACTCAGCATGCCATTCAAACTCCTCTTGCTTAGCTCACTGGTGTCCAGTGGAGAGTTGTTAGAGTTCTGTCAGTTGGATGGAATCATTGCCCTCCCAGATCAGTAAATGTTTTCATACTCTTATTGTCCTTACTATTGCACGTGCACATGTAGGCTGATATTGTCCTTGGTTCCTAATGTCCAGCCTGCCTTGCTGGCAGTCCCTTACTAAATAGCACCATCATGGACAAATAGTCAAACCATAAACTCATAGATGCCTCATTCCTTGCCTACTCATTCCTAATTTCAGGAAATTTTGGT